TGGTGATAGGGTGCTCTGAATGAAATCACCTTGCGCTACTGGACCAGCATCTGAACAATGCGTGAATCAAAAACAAAGAACCGGTCATATAGGTGGTGGAAAACCACGGGGCACCGACTTGGCGGTGTGAAAAGCAACTCCTCACGGCCTTCTTGTTGAGGAAGCTCTCCACGGCCTTGCCAGCGGCCACCGCAAGGCCTGACACAAGTGTTCGCTAGGAGACAGCCGAGTCGGATCCGAAGACCCTGAATGTGGAGGAAAATCCCACACCCTAAGGATCCGCACCCTCAAAAACAAGGGTTTTGAGGTACAAACCCTTATTATATATAGAGGGTTCGACCTCTTCCGAGGGTCCAAGGATCCTTAGGGCAGCTGAAAAGGAAAGAAGGATGAAGAACTGGAGCCAAACAACTCAGGCTCATCCAAGGAGAATGGCCACCCTCGAAATGTGTCTCTTAAAAAACTGTTTTCCAGATCGGCTTCGACCCTGACAGCACATTCCCTTCGACTCTGACAGAGACGGCACAAACCCCGGGCATGCAAAGCACATGGCCGGTTCCACCACGTCTCTCGCGTAGGGACGACCCGCGCCTACGACGCCACCCAGGACCAAACCCAAGAGGTCCACACCGCCTCCGGTGGCGCGGACCGCACCCATGAGGAGATGTCCCAAGGCTCGGCTCGGGAGGGTGAGGCTCGGGATCCATGTAATGTTATAAGATATGCCAGGACCGACACCTCTGTAAATAGCCTCGTATACTGAGTCTGAGGTTGGGTGTCCGAAAACCATACTTAGACTATAATTACTATGTATAACTATTATATATATTCATATATATATAATATATATATATATATTCCATATTACATCGAGCGTTTGGACAAGACAAAGATATACAAACATACCGCCCACGGGAAGGCCAGTGGAAATCTTCTGCCATACTCTTCTTTAAGAGGTAGTTGGACCATGTTGGATCTAGAGGCATAAACGAGGTTTTTCATAGTTAGACTTTCAGAGTAACCAAATGTCCGAGCTGGGGATGAGATCATGACTTGGTCCCTGAAGATGCCGCTCTGTAGAGTCTCTGTAGAGGTCGTGGATGGCCTGGGCCTGACTTACCATTGATAACAACAAGCAGTGCGCAACATTTATCTCACCTTATTCATCAATCCGAGGTCAATATCAAACATCAAGCACATTTCATCAAAACAGGAGCATCTACAGTAACTTTTGATGCTCTAGCTACGGTTTTAGCTTCAACATCAGCAGCCTCCGTTGTATGGCACCTCAACACAGGATATTCACGCGAGTGCTTGCTAGGTTTACTTTTCACAGGGGCAATGGGCCTGCATGGGGTGGATCGGGCCCTATCCTCAACATCGTTTCCGCACCGTCCCCACACACATGCACGCATAGTCCCAGACTTGGTTCAAAACATGGTTTCCCGTACCAGGACCTTCCAACAGGTGGTTTTGGACACCCCCTTAACCACTAAGAGGCTATTTATAGACACCTCTTGGATGGTCCTGGTAGATGTTGCCCTTCAACCAATTCTGGACACATGCCGGCTGAAAACGCCCTACCGGCCGAGTCCGGACGGGACGACTGCCAGGGCCCGAGTGGCTGGACTTCGGTTCCTCGGTAAGCTGCGCTGTCTCGCCCTTCACCTGGCGAGAGACTGAAGGCAGGTCGGACGTTGGGACGTGACCTGAGAGATGCGTGGGTTTTCCACACACTCCCTCAACAATCAAAGGGAACTGGGTTCACATTTTTTCGAGTTGGCGCTGGAACTGGGTTAATCCGCCGGTCCAGCCAGAAAATCTTGGAAGCTTGTTCCACCGGGGCTAACACCCCCCAAAAAAGCATTCCTATCAAAGCGAAAAAGGCAAAGGACTGGACAAGAACCTCCGCCTCCCTGGCTCCGGGCGCATGCTGGCTCCAGTGTCTCCGGTGCCCCCCAAGCCTTGATGTCCACCTCCTCTCCTCCGCGTGCGTGGCGGGTGATTTGACCACGATGGGCTCGCAGCTGCAAGAAGCAGCTAGGAACCTTGGACGTTCCCAACGATGTGACTTTCTCAATTTTTGCGGAGCTTTGCGCTCCAACAAGTTGTCTGATACGCAGGACAGATGATGGAGAAATGTTGTTCTTATTTTGGAGAATAGTTATTCAGGCACTCAAAAGGTTTATAGACAAAAATACCAAGATGCCTTTTCATAGTATCCTTGCGGAAGGGGCAATAGCGCTATCAGTGACGCTTAGCGGAGGTGCGCTGTTTGCTAGTTGAAAACTACTCCAATTCCCGTCAAGTTTGATCGTCAAGGTCATTCTTGCAATTTTTTACGCGGGCCTCAGCCCAACAAAGTACATACGAACTCGCGCAGGTACTAACTGCTGCTTCGAACCGGGATCTGATTGCCAGTGGATGTTCGCTTCAGGCCTTTCAATGCCTTAACAGGTTTAAACATCTAGGTTAACCAAATCCAACAACAAAACCATTTAAGTCATGAGCCAGGCATCATATGCGCTGAACCGTTTCAAACGACATCGCGGCCGAATTGCGGCGGGTAGTTTGCAAATGGCTATCCAAGATGGGCTCGCCATAACATCTGCTTCTAGGTGACTAGGTGACGTAACATGTCCAAACAAATCCCAAAACTATGTCTCTAGCACCCTGCCAGTAAAACATGCTTGTGATCCCGCGGCCAGAATACTGGCTCAGGGATTGGAAGTGCATGGTACACATCTGGAACGAAGGTGGCACAGCATCACAGAATCACATGAAGTTTAGTCCTCCTGCCAGGGCTACTCTTTGTTGTGGTTCCCAATTCAAAAGCCATCCCGTCTGAGCAATCACAGCTTTTGCAGGTCGAAGCCAGCTTCTGCGGAAGATGAATAAAACACGTTTACTGTTTACTCTTCATGGCGGGTGCTGATTGAAGAGTTTCATTTTTGTGTAATTACCCATGTTTGTAAAACAGTGGTAACATGGGGACTCTGGGTATGGCAAGGCCACCCCAACGATGTCAATCTAAACAAGTGGCCACAGCCAAGGTCATGCCGGCAAGCAAAAGGCATCCTTGGTGCTGCGAGGTCATTCGCTTGACATGCTGTATGATCTGGAAAGACAAGAAGAATGTCCAAAGTCGGATCACTGAAAAGCGTGACTGCAGCACCGTGACGGACTTGTTTCATTCAATTGATGTGAAATCATGTGAAAGCCAGGTTTATGTCGTGTGCTATCACAATCCTCTACATCTATTACGCAACTAACAAATTGTCTTGTTGTCTGCCTGGGCCGATTCCTAAGCTGAAAACCACCACAGTAGCAACCCTCTGCCTACTTTCCATGGTTTCCGCGCGCTTTGCGCGAGCACACATGCTGAGCCAGGCTCCTCGGCCCGTGAGTCCCCAAGTTAGGCTCTCGGACCCATCTGTGGTGAATGGGAACCCCGAGGGCCCCTCACCAGCCGGGAACTTGTTCGTGTTCATTTTTTTTGCAACGGTTTTCCGGCATCTCTTTCGGTATGCCATCCAGGCACACCGAAAGCATGAGCATGGGCTACAGCTTGCTGACCTGTATACCGCACATGTCGTCACTTGGCCCAGTCGTCTTTTCCATTTGTCTACAGGGGGTGCCTCAAAATGGCAAACGGTTGATCTGAATTTCAGGCCACACTTACCCCGAAAACAAACGACCTAAGTTGGCTTCCAAGCATGTCAACACATATCCCTCCCACACAGATGTGTGTTGCAGCCCTACCACCAGCAAGGTTTAAAATGCAGTGGGCCAGCTATGGCCAGCACCCCAAAAGTTGGCACTCGCAGTTCGTCGTTCCTTCAACATCATCCCTTCGACCGGCGAAACCGAAACGCTCGCCCAAGGCACGTGTCGCGGAGCGCATGGCGAAGCGGTCAGAAAGGGAATGACAGTCTTAGGAGTTCTACCGGAGGATCCGTTTGAAAATCTGAGGATTTCCAGCCAAGAAGCGGTCTGAGCAAGCTGGCGAGCGCCAAGGCGAAGGGTTCAGGTCTACACACTCAGTGCTTCGGAGGGGAGGGCTCCCAGGAAACGCTATTAGGTGTGCAGAGGGCTCCCAGGAAACGCTACCAGGTGTGCAGAGGACTCCCAGGAAACACTACCAGGTGTGCAGAAACCCACCTACCCAACCAGTTTTCAAGAATTAAAGTTTTGTCTCAAAAAGCGGGTTACACTCCCTCAACTAATCGTGGAAGTGGAAAACCGCCGGTTTGTAGAGGTAAATGCTCATCCAAGGGGCCATGTTCCACCATGTTCCCTCCATGTTCCACTTCCATGCAAATTCCACGAAGTGTACAAGAGTCGTAACACATTTCTGAATACAATGGTGAGGTAGCAAATCCAAACAAATGTTCAGAGTGCCGTATACCAACAGGTTGTTGGAGTGCCCCTCAAAACCGCTTTCAGTCCGGTCTCCTCCACACCCCCGTCATCTCGCTTTGGTTCAGGGAGCTCTGGTTCCAAACACAGCACCCTCAACGCCAGGTCACCACCTGCCACTGAGCCTACAAGGAGACCCATGTCACCCACCATGAGACCTCTCTGGCTCACATGTCAGGTGCACCTTTCGGGCTGGTGATTGGGCCCTAATTAGGGTGCCTCAAAACCTTGGCATGCCGGTCCGGCCACAAACAACTCCTCACACATGTGTTTCTTTTGGGGTTAAGAGTCACCGAAATAATCATGGAAGTGGAAAATGGTCCCCTGGATGGCCATTTTCCTCTACAATCAGGTGGTTTTCCACTTGCATCTGAATCAGTCGAAATGCAAAACTATTCAGCAGTCTGAAACAAGCGCAAGTTTGGAACTTAGATGGAATCAATGGTCAGGATCCGTGACGTTTCGGTCATGATGCTTCGTCCGCTAGTGTCTCACCCATACAGATTGGCCACGTCAAAAATGCGGTCGGAGGAAACTTGTGGCATGTTTCTGCGTGGTTTGTCAAAGTCATCCGGCTGAGCCTCTGCCGTGAGGATGCTACCGCCCCAAATCTCCTCGCTGCAAAACTGGGCGCAAAGTTGTTCAGAGATTTCAAACGACATGAGCATGAATCTTGTGGAAGATGTGTGCAAGAATTGTGAAGCACAAAACATGCAACATCTGACTGCGAACGGCTCCAAAATCAACCTTTATATAACTCCTGTTTGAGCCATGTTGCAAGAAACAATCTTTCCTTAAATTTGGTAGTGCCAAGTGAAAAACCGCAGTAAGGACCATCAGCCTGACCTTCGCGCCGACTTCCGGTCCTGATAGTTCTCCATGTGTTGGCCGCCGGCACCTTCAAGGTGGTTTTCGGGCCACGGGGGGCCCGCATCCAGCTTCTGAGGCCCTTTAGGCCCTTGCCTCCGATGATCTCTTATGGCTGCATGCTCACGATGCTTCATGCTAAGCTGCTAAACCTTCTCCTCCCTAAGACCTTCCTTCACCTCAATAGACTCCACACCCATCTTCGCAAGCGAAACGAAGAGCTGATCGCCTGGCAAATGCTTCGTTTCCGGTCCGGGCCTCGATCCACACCCATGCCACCATCAGCCACCACCTGGGCGGTGTCGTGGGCAGTGGTTTCAGTGGCATCGGATGTGACAGAAGCAACTTGGCGGAACATTTGATGAATCCGCCCTTGAGGATCTTTATGCGGAGACCACGATCCTGGTAGGGCTAGAGTTTTCTTGTGTAATACATTTGCTTGCACCATATATTTACAGCAGGCCTGCTGTGACTGATCGACATGAAACAACATGTGAGGAGAAACGCAGCAAAAACTACATTCAGTCACAACTTCTTGGACCGTGCAGGGCTTTTGGAGAATTGGAAGGTTTTCACCAAGTGATCATTCGTGATCATTCGGGTGGGGAGGGTGATTGTTCCACTCAGAGGGTGGTGGGCACGAATTCCAAATTGGTTTGGTTTTCCGAACGGTTTGGGGCATTGCTAAAACATGCTCAAACCACCGCTCCCATTCTTGGGAGGTGCGACGCGCGATGCGAACGTGCCGCACCAGCGAAATCGAAATCCTCCGCCAAGGAGCCTAGGACCCTCCGGACATGTCAAGGCTTTGGACCCGGTTCTGGAAGCAAACGTTCTGAACAAAAGTTTTTTAAGTCCCTAGGGATCCAGTCAGGTACGGTGATGTGTTCGACACCGCTATGTAGGTGCCAGGAGGGTCCAATCACCTGCTGAGAAGGTACGACTGGATGTTTAGGGAGTGTTTTCTGTTTTTTTTTTTCAAGAAGCTGCAGCTACGAACTTGAGCGATGCCAAAGGACTTCCGCAGATTGCCAAGCTGGGGATAAGCTGGCCACTGGAGATATATTCGGCAGCGGAACAGCCAGGAAGAGCTGGGCGGAGTCCCGCGAAACATCACCCTGGTGGGGCAAAACGGGTGCTTCAAAAACGGGTGAATGAATCAAACCTAAATCCAAAGGATCCAGTTTTGCTCTGCGCGGGGCAACAAATGACGATCCATTTCACACAAAAACACATGAAGTGGCGGACAAATGCGATCATTACAATAGACTAGACTGTTTGGGAAACAGCTTCCTTTGGCAAGAGCTCATGGTGACCATCCAGCATGCGACCATAAAGAGTTTGTTTGTCCAATGTGCTCTGCAAAGTTTGCGCGCTAAAAGCAGGGTGAGACCATGTCCGATGGAAAGCACAAGACATTCACCCTTGGAACCCGAAAGTTAAAGTCCGGATCGTTACATTCCGTCTCACTCAATACCTGACCGTCCTTTTCGCCGACTCTCCCAGAATCTATAAGACTTCTATAAGAGAAGCTTGGCTTGATTGAATGGGACACCCCACCAACCTCCACCTGTCTGCACCACTCCCTTCTTCACCGCCGCAGGGGCTCCTTTCTTCATCGTTCTCCTCAACTCATGGCGACGGCGACGGCCGCCGCTGGGGACCCCAAGCCAGGTCGGCGGTGCGCCCCACTGCGGCAGCCGCGTGCGCGAGATTCTCGGGAGAGGTGACCTGAGGGCGAGGAGGGCCACGTTTCGGATGGAGGCCAAAATCGCATGGAATTATATATTTTTCAAGTGGATGGCACCCCCCGTTCTTTGTAAAGGAATGGGTGGTCTTTCCAGGGGTCCTTTTCTTCCTTGTTCCACTTTCATGTTAGTGAGTCAGGGTTCATTGTAGGTCTATCTTCCGGAGACAGGGACTGTCTGGGGGATCATGGACAAAACCACGCTTGTCCCCATATAATAGCATTCAAAAATAATATATATATACAACAAGTTCACTTGATCGTTGTAATTTTACATCTCTCACTTGCGGACTTGCAAACTGCGCATCTCACAGAACATCCATTTGAATCCAATGGCGGGCCAGGAATCCTGGGGTGTCTTTATGTCTCTTTGCACGTCTCAGTCAGTGTATTTTTTTCCAAAGGGTGGATATTTTGTGAGGATGATCCCCAAACTCGGCAAACACTGAAATCGAAACATCTTAGAACCAGGCCATGACTGGTCAGTGCAGAAACTTGTTTCATATTGTTTTCGAAAAGGCCCGCCCTTCACCTCATGATACCCCATGTAAGCTGCTGCACGACAGGTCTGGGTGTCCTGTCTGGAGATCCCGAGTATAGTGAGTCCAGCCAGGGTTGCTCCTGGTTGGATAATCTTAGACTCTTGATGCATCAACACCCCCCCTCACATCTAAAAATATCGGTTGATCAATCAAAAATGGATTCCCAAACACCGCGAAACCACCTCGTTCCATGCCTCCTCCCCCCTCACATCCCGGCATCGCCGGTTCCATCAGCGCCGTTGAGCTCGGTGAAGTTGGAGCCTGCTGCGCTCGGCCGCGCCACACCCGAAAGGACGGAGGGCGGTCGTGGATCGCTTGTTTGGGCCGACACGCGCCCTTCGGTTCGGAGGTCGAAGCGGGAAGTCGTTGGGCTGACAGGCCACCTGAAATTGGATCAACTCTGATTATGAGGTGATGCCTTTAAAAAGGGCTGCATATCTAAATCTATAGACATACACTCTGATCTGCGGTTGGCGTTGGAGATCAAAAATCTTCTCCTCAGCCAGGCTGGCTGAAATAGAACCCGATCGTCCCTCCGGGGGACGATCCGGTAGGACCGAGCAGGTCGGTGACCGGTGACCAGGTTGGATCACCGTGGAGAGGATCGCATGTGATGTTCACATCACATCCATGTGATCCCTTCAGGTTGAACGCCAAGGGCTTGGGGCCAAGGTCCATGTATGACGATGCTTTCAAGGGCTTTCGATTCAAAAGGCCGAAGTGGAGCCGAAGTCCAGTACAGGTCCGGTTTCATCTGTCGCCTCTGACACTCCTTGGGCAATCTGGCATCAACTGCACATGGAAGTGGATGGTATGACCCTTTGGAGGATCCTTTTCTACCATGATTCTTCCAAGGAGTGCATGCAGATTCATCTGGATGATTCTGGATGTAATTTGCCGATAAATACCCAAACACTCCATGTATGCCATATATGCCTACATTGACCCCCAAAACGACCCCAACTGATCGGCATGCATACATGGAGTGTCTGGGATATATACTGGCTCGGGCCAATCGACCCCTTCCACTTGCACCGAATCCCGTGTTTCATTCCTGGGGCCTCCGGCGCTCCAGTAGGTCCTGGCGAGCGCTTGGAACCCACCGGCCCTCCGTGCGGCGGTTTCACCACCGAGACCTGAGACGGCCCGAGACCTCGAGCGATCAGTTCCAATCACCGATGATGCCAATCCCATGAGATGCCGTGATCAAAGACGATTCTGCAGGTATCTGAGATGTATCTGAGTGACCCTGAAAAGAGGAGAGTATGCCAGCCATACACAATAAGAAAACATGGCCTGCTTTTCTGTTTGCGCAACCAAACATCCACCCCAAAATTTGAACACACCCAAGGTCAGCAAGAATGCGAACATCGATGCTGCATACCTGGGAAACAACTTCAACTTGACCCAGCTTCGAAAAACGGCCATTTCTCTCTGTCGGCTGTTCGCCGACGCACTGCGCACTGCCCATTTGGCGGTGCCTTGAAAGTTCGCACCTAGACCCTGGGTGCGGCTGGAAGATGGATGCTCCCGCACCACGTGTGGGCGCTGGTAGCCCAGCAGCTCAACAGTGCACAGAATTCTTGGAGACTACTATCGGATACTATCGGTGTTTCTGAGCTATCGGTGCCTAAAAACCACCGGGGGCCTGAACACCAAACAGCCTGTTGGAGGGTCCTGGTCTTAGCTCTTAATTTTTTGGTGGCACAATATGGGGGCTGCCTGTAGATTGTGGGCCTTTGCATGAAAGGCCAGGTGTAGGCATCAACCTGCCAGGTCCAGCTAAAGGACACCACCTCTTAGGGTCCAGCACTAGGCCTCTGCATGTATAACATACAGGAAGGTGGCCATGCGATACTTCCAAACTTCTTTGAGCTCAGCCCGGTACCCATTCAACCGAGCTTCACGACATACGAAGGCATCCACATCTTCAGTAGCTGGAGCAGGTTCTTCCAAGCCCACTGTGATGGCCTCACTTCCATTGAGTCGAGCCGTAAAGGCACAAAAATCCACAACTTTGCCAGCTGCTAGCTAGCGGCTTTGCAACATGTTGTCCGCAGTTCCAAGACCTTCACGATAATATCATATAAAATTCTGGGTATGCACTAAAGCTGGTTTAGCCACATGCAACTCCATGCAACCCATGACTTTTGAATTGGCTGAGGTCGATTGTTTGTTTGTCTTCTCCGGAGTGCAGCGTAGATTCTGACACTAAGGAGTTCTCTTTTATAGAAGGTTCAGGTTCATAGCCCATTATCCTCTAGGAATCTCAGGGCAACGAAAATATCTTCGCAAGGGGAGCAAAGTAGGCCTAAAAAGACCTGGACATGGCCCAGGGTAGATGCCCTAAGCATCTGGACAGCAAACTCCCCTACTACAACCCCATACAAAGCTCCTAGCTCAACTCCTGACCATTTTCACCAGCCACTTGGAGATATAAGGGCCAACCTGTCGTCTCTGAAAGACAAGGCCAACCTGAGGTCTCTGAATAAATAGAAGCCAAACATGCACTCTTCAGGAGTATACCTATATCGTATTACTGCCAGCCACAAAGTCTCCCTTATCTCCCTTACAAGCACGCTCTGTATATCATCCTCACTGTCCAACCTCCAAGTTCCCACCCACCTTTCCCCCGACCCTCCGGTCCCAAGGAACAAACACCGAGCGCGGCCGGGCGGGAAAGCCGAAGCGGAAGTAGCGCATCACGTCGGCCGCCGGGCAGAGTCGCGCCGACCGGGCACCGATGAGGCGGCATTCGTAGTCCTCGGGACGGACAGGACGCGCCAGAGATCCGAAGCGGATGAGGTTGGACTGCGTGGAGTGAGGTTGGATCTTGAAAGACAGCAAATGCCGAAAAACACCAGCAAGTAGTCATGGGGTATAATGTACTATTCACATACCCTGGGTCTTCCTGCGGCCTGCGATCTACTTCAATGTTCTTACTGCTCTATCTGAAGTGGTGCTGGTGGATTTCTAGTCTGTAGAATCTCACCGTTGAATGGCGAGAGTGAGGCCGCCAAACGCACGACTGTCGGGGTATTCCTGCCCAACGACCGTCTGGCCCATCAGCACCCAATGCATTGAACAGGGATCTGGGATGGGAACCGCACGCGGTTGGGAACAAATTTACAAAAGGTTGAGGTGGTGGAGGACAGGATTATATAGGTTGAGGACTGACTGACAGTAAAAGAGATGTGTTGTCTTGTGTATACATAGTCTTAACTTCAGCTTAACCATAGTTCAGCCCTGACAGGGCCTACTTTCTCCTCCAACGTGGAACCTCTGATAGGGGGAGGCCACTAGCACAAAAAGATTCTTTGCTAAGGTTTGTCAAATTTGCTCACCAAGAAATTACATTTTATCGGCTTCTCTTTGGTAGAGAAATCATTGAAGCGTGGCTCCAGGCATGTCATGTCCTCCTCAATAAAAGCAAACTCAAGAATCGCTTAACTTGACTATACTTGACTTGAAAGTCCGTCTTAAAGTTGGATAAAAATGATAATGTGGAATGCTTCAAGGGAAAGAGCAACAATGAACATCATCACGATCAATCACAAGCCTGACAAGCTTCGCAGCCTTCATGTATCTTTCAATTTGTTTTGAATGGTCTCATCTTGGGTCTATCCCATTACCAGTAAGGCTTGTTCAAACACAATCAAACTATAGTGATAGTCGTTCACTGACTGTTGCTGGTAACGGAACAAACCCTATACGTACAGTCTCGTCTTCTTTGTCTACGTTGAACTTCCCTGCACTTGGGGCCGTCTTCGCGCCACGATCTCCGAACGTGTGCCGCGGCGCAAAGAAGGCGCTCACACACTGGAAGCCCACAGCAGCATTAGCACAAAGCCAGTGATCTAAGCCTCAAAACTAACGAAACGCGCAGGAAAGTCATGATGGAGTGTTGAGATCCAAACATGCATTTTGACAGGTTCTTCTGTTTTGTTGGGCGTGTTTCTTGGCATTTGTACTCGACGGTTGGCTTCTACATGGGGTAAGCAAATGGCTTCGGGTTTGCGGCAACATGGCCATTCCAACTATGACACCATGGGCAACTAATTATCACGAACTTGGGCAACCTACACAACATATACCGTATTGTAAAGTGGCACCAACCCCCCCCCAAAAAAAGCGAAATATGCAACATGGCACATGAAACAATGTAGATTTGCATGTTATACATATAATATATAACGTACGAATATATATATATTACATTATATCAATTATATCTATCATACCTGGCTTGTGGGCCTCTGAGGTCAAAAGAGCGCACATGGACTAGCCCATACTAGGATCAACCACCTGGACCCAGGCCCAGCCCACGTTGCATCGATCCGGGGCACGTTGCGAGCGAACCCCGGGGTAGAAGTCGGAGCTTCGGACCATCTCGAAGTAGTGATGCAAATCGGCTTGAGGCATCACCACCTGCAACGTGATGAGAGACCTTCTGATCTGCATGTGGTGATGTGGTGGGAGACTCTTCTGTCATTCAAAGCACCTGGCAGGGTGCTGACCATCTATTTCATCACGTCCACGGGGAGTCGATGTCACCCCTTCTGCGAGCCTGGCGTACTTTCAACCTCCCATGATCTCCAAAAGTGATGTCCGCCCCGCAGAACACCTGTGTTCACCCCGAAGTCTTCCAAGATCCGCCCCGGTTTCGGCGCCGAGCCATGCCATGTGTCGGCCGGCCTGCTGGCAGAAGCGAAGCTCCGGCTCCAAGGCCACCAACTCGCGCAGCGTCCCATAGAGCGGCGTGTCTAAGACCTGAGCTCGGCGTACTTCCCGTTCTTCTCAGCCAGTGGCGGTGGCCAGAAGCGGAGGTGTCTGGAGCCGGGATTTTCGTGGGAGAAACAGGAAGAACCATCTGTGGTTCTGAGAAATTAGCACAGTTGAAACAAAAACAGGAGGAACTTTGAGATGAATACTGTCAAAGATGGAAACAATAACATACAAGGGATCACAAGGATATGGGTGCCTGCTCACATGTAGCTGCTGAGCTTGGCGAGTCAAAAGCTCAAGTTGGTGGATGAACACATGTGCGAGCTTCTGGTTTTCCATGGGGGGCCTACTGACAAGGCCATTCATATCACTGATTTACAGAGTAGATCAGCAAATCTACACTTCCTCAAAACATGGAAGTGAAACACAACCAGTTTGTAGAGGAAAATGGTCATCCTAAGCAGCCATTTCCACTTCTTCCATAATCATGTCTAAATTTCAAGGAGTTTGGGTGTTGAATTTCATAAATCACGCTTTATATCTGGGATAAATATACAGAAAAAAACATAAGTTTGGGGATAGGGTTGCTAAAAATAACAGAGCCTCTTCCAAAAGGATATGACGACTGTGCGTCACCAGCCTTGCGAAACCGACGCCAGCAGTTAGAACGTTTTCGTCCCAACTCCACGAGCAGAAATTGCTATGTTTTTTGGAAAAAAAACTAAAACTCCACAACCGTGGGACACCTAATGGAAAAAAGTATAAAGGGGTGTCAAACAATCTTATAACTCGGAAAGTGTGTGACGTCCTTGTCGAAAATAGTTATGATGCTTTTTGAACAAAACTATAACTCCAAAACCATGGGACACCTAATGGAAAAAGTTGTAGTTGTTCAAAAAATCTTATAAGTCGGAAAGTGTGTGACGTCCTTGTCGAAAATAATGAACAACACTATAACTCCAATTGCTTGGGGCACGGGGCACCTAATGGAAAAAAATATAGTTTTTTATTTTGAAAAACTATAACTCGGAAAGTGTGTGACGTCCTTGTCGAAAATAGTTATGATT